ATTTTTCTTTATTTATCCCACTTCACTTCCGTCGATTCGTTTTAGTCTCTACTTCCATTCAAACTTCATATGCACATGATCCTTATCTGGAACGAGCTTATGATCTTCGCTAACAGCCTTCTCGACGTGCAGTCAGTCGTAAATGTAATGTTTTGCTGCATTGGTGTATCTCACTGTTTTTAGCTACTGCATTGTTTTGAAGATGTAGAAGGAAATTCTCGTTTTTAGAGATTAGCGCACTTAAGTTTATCTCTTTCTTTTTAATCTTAAATCTCACAATCGCATTAATACTGCATAAGGCTAAGGCTAGCTCACGTCATACTCTTTTGTTACCACCAACTTCCTGCAGTAACCATATTCACCTTGGTGTCCGAAATAGGATGCAAGTGCTGAACCAATACCTCAAAACGAATTTCTGTACTCTAAGCCTGTTTTATTTATTTGAGTATCAAAGGGTCGAGTTCCCGAAGTAGATACCAGAGAACCAGACATAGTTAGGGCAGGAAATCACATACCTTTGCGGCTAAACTCTTTTCGAACTCAAAATTTCGTGTAATTCCGCATTACCACTATTTTATGACAGGACAATTAATTTTTATTACGAGAATTTTGGTTACTTGAATTACGTTCTCTAACAATGTATTGTTTTTAAGCTGTGGCAACAAAGTTCGAGCTAATTTAGAGGAAATGTAAGTTTGCTGCTGCACAATGGGAAACTTTTTCTTGTAGATGTTTGATTGCCTCTCTTATAAACAGTTCAGGTTCTGTAACCTGCTATTCTTGTATTTTACTGCTCTAGCATATTGGAACATCTAATTTGTCATTTTGCAATTCTTTACATTTTCAAATGCAGAAATATCTTCTGGTTGGGAACGCGCGAAACCTTGGAAAACCAGAATAGTCCAAAAGAATTTTTTTTACGACATTCAGCTGCTTGTTTTACTATAGCGCCTTGGCAGGGCGTACCGAGTCCCCCCTTCCTACCCCCCCCCCCCCGCTCTCGAGAATGGGTCGCGAAATTTTTGAATGTTACTTACATGAGTTATAAAAATGCGCAAATAACTTGTTTACACCAGGTAATTAAATCATTTTTTAAAACTTTTTAGAAATCCAGTTTAGCCTTGCAAAAAAATTTTTTTTGGAGGCGTGGCTGATGCACGTCCCCTGCTTCTAATTTCGGGTTATGGATCCGCGAAAATTTCAAAAAGCATACCAAAATTTTCTTCTAGGTGCCTGCCCCCACCTTCCCACCCCACCCCCTCCCCCCCCCCCCCCCACGGAATCCTGGGTACGCCGCTGGACCTCCTTGATCTTCTTGATATCCCAGAGTACTGACAGTTGGCTACTTTTCCGTCCTCCTCTTCCTCCTCCTCCTTCCAACATCGCAATGTTCTTCGCTATGTCTTTTTCTTCTGTTTATTAGGTAGCTAACTCCAATGTCACACTAGGTTGACCGTGACGGCGGCTGATTGCGTTTTACAATCGCTGGACGAGAAGTTGACGTTGGCTTCTAGCTGTCAATAACGGTTGTTCGAATGATGCAAATTCTTTTTTCTTCTAAATAACGGTATCGCTCCTGATTTTTTTTTGCAAAAGATCGCATTTCTGATTCGACTATGGTAACCTCACCCGGCTGCGTAAAAACCACAATTTTTTTCGAAAAGCAGGAGGGTATTGTATGATAAAAGCCCAAAAAAGGAGTCAATCCTTAGGCTCTCAAACTGCGCTTTACTTTCTTAGGCGTGCTCTCATTACTTTCCATCTAAGGCTCTCTATTTTTCTTATTTCATACTAAGCACTCACAACCCTGGAATTGTCAACATCGCAGTTGTCAACTAGTTTCACAAATTATCTCCAACTGTAGATCATGTGTACACAGTTGCTTTGTGATCTTTTTTGCAATAATGCCCCTTTCCACTTCTCAAAAGGGGCAGGCAAAAGCTGAGGTGTTCAATTAAAAATTCAAGTGGTAGCCAATAAAATGGAAATATGGAGGCTTCCCCACTTCCTTTAGAAGGTGTACGCTCTTCTCAATATCATTGAGAAAACATCAAGAGAATAACGGTATTATCTATACATGAGATGATTACTGAATTTCCAAGTAAGAGTAAGAATAAACACCAAAATGTTTTCATGGTCCTTCTGTAGAGTCTTGTTTATTCTCGTTGTGATTGCAAAATTCCAAGATTCACAACACTTTAAGAAAATTATAATATGTTCATTTTTTCCCGATCCTCGTGGTTCAGCTTTTTAAATAAATTTTGAAAAAAAAACCTGTTTGGTAAGTTACAATTTCACTGTAGTATCGCATACAACCTTAAGTAATAATCATGATGAAAATATTTCATAACTTTGATCGACTCTGTAAATCTCTAGATTGACTGTGACCTCCTCTAGCAAACCTAGAGGTCATGCAGCGCTTTTGGGAAAGTGCCACAAAAGGCCTAGTAATCAAAACTCTTGTTCCAATATGATATTTTATTTGTCCTTTAGTCCTTTAGGTCATAAGAAGAAAAAGAAGTTTTGCATTTGATATGGGTCTGTTGCCAACATATATGCGCTATTATAATAGTTTCCTCCAAGATCCTGCAAAAGGGAAATGAATGAATTTCCTGTAAATTCTTTTGAGGTGAATCACAATTTGCCCCTATTGAATTGACAAAAACTATACGTTTGCCAATTTTAGCGAATGTTCCAGGACGCTTTTTTGCCGATTTGAACTCATTTCGTTTGCGACTAGCCAATTTCTATTGTTGGTAAATTTTTTGACACACACACTCACCTCATTGTTCGCATTGTTTCGTATCAGTTTATGTTCAACCCAATGTTGTATGGAACAAGTAAGGAAACTGGCATTTCTGTTACTTCATTTTGACCCATGCTACCACCATTGAAAGGAGCTCTCTAAATAAACGCTTTCTAGCCCCATCTTGCCATCCTTCTTGAGTTAGCACTTATTTTATAATTATTATGTTTTTTGCATCTCACATAACCATGAAACGAGATAACTCAATGCAGAACAGTTTCGTTCAAAAATAAGTTTTTTTTCTAAAAGTCATAGTGTTAAAGGCCTAGATATCTTTGCTTTGGGCTTCCACATTTTTCCAGAAATGAACAAACACACATTTTTCATAGTAGAGATATGCAAATTGTCTATCGGAGATTGCTCTGGATATAAATTTGTATACTACAGAGGTATCTCCAAAGCAGTTATGATTTTTTAAAGGCTTTAATTTGTTAAAGTTATTTTTTTCACCAACAAAACTTTTAGTCACCAAAATTTTTTGAGATGCAGTGTTTTTGTGAGTCTCCATTCTTCCCACCACTCCCTTTTCAGTGTTTCTCCTTCAAAAATGATTTATGTCCAAGATTTGCTGACCTTGCGCGTGCACCAATGGAAGAGAAAGCCACTTATCAAGTTTTCTACATGAGTGCATACGATATGATATGTCTCTTGTCCGCTGGGACAGCCTGCGAACGTCGCTAAGTTCACTATCCGAAGACCAAGGGGCTGAATATATGTGATCAATATGTATCTCTGAAATGTTCGTTCGTTCTCCACATTTAACCCGAAACTGATAATTTTGAAAAATTCAATTCCTTCAAATACATAAGAGCTTAGAGATTCATACAACCTCCTTAGGAGATTACATCATGAATGCTAGGTTATGTATAACCAAGTAGACTTATCACTAACAAACGATGGCCAAACTTCGTTATTTTAGTAGAAGCCAACAGAAGTAGTTGCTTTATTAACGAAGGTTAGATTTGTTCTACGCTGTATTATCATGATAATAATCTGTTTCAAGAAAGATCTTGCTTGTGATCGGGTGACTATGGGGCGTACACCATTTTTTTGATTATGTCAATGTAAATTGGAGTAAACTAGAAAACTTTGGCACGAATGGGAGGAAAACTTCTTCAGTCCTTCATATTCATTCCACTCAAATTTACTGAACATTTAGAATGATCCAACGGTTTCAGAATACTGAAGATAATCAGTGGAATCCATAAGCCTATGAAATGAAGGCAGTTTCTGACAAAGCAGCTCTTAAAATTGCAGAATGCGGGGTTATTGGCTTGGAAATATTTTACGCTATTTTTTGATCATCGAGGTAATTCAAAGTTTTGTCATTGAGGTGAAGATACATATTACCCAATCTAAGCGCAATTCGTTGTCCACCTGGCAGAAATTGGCGTCCTGTGCAGAAAATTCATACTAACACATGTGGACACTAGGCGAATTTGATGAGTTTCTGCTAAATCTGACTCACTGACAGGAATCCAAGTAACAGAAACAATGCCCGAAATGATTCAGCTACTTCTCAGTTTTTCTTGTCTTCGAATCCTGCGTGGAATAACCTTGCATACCGCAAAATAGTGTAATACCATCCTTCCTTGTTACGTTCCTGTAGCGCTAATTCAACGAATTGGCGATTGATCATTCGGTGAACGCTAGCAATCACTAATGGGTGCTTTCACAGTTCTCATAGAAGTCAAAAACTACCTCTTCAAGAACATTAGCTATAAAAGTAGTTTCTCAATTATACGAACCGATTGCATCATTATTGGTTCATTTTTATGTTTTTTTATCAAGTGGCATAGTTACTAGCTGATGATTTGGAGTCACGTAGTGTTTGTTTTTGTCTATCTCTCATTCTTCTTTTCGCTCGCTTGCTTGAATAAAGGGTATTTGTGGATCACAAGAAAAATTAGCGTCCTTGCTTCCAAATCTAATTTGAGTTGAACCCATTTAGCTCTACATTGTTCCCTGTAATTTCCTCAGTCACGTCAAATTCTCAATCCATTAAAAGTTACGAACTTCGCCGTACGAATATGACACCGGCTACTTCCCTTCATATCATTTTTCCTTTACCCACGAATTTTCCGTTGCTATTATCACGTCTATCTCAAGTTTCCCTCTACTGATTTTCCATATATGTTGCATACCCACCATTCCGGTTGCTACTTCGCCTTCATTTTTACATTCTTCACTTTGCAGAACAATAATGCGGGCATTGCTATTAATACTTGCTGCTGTCTACAGAATCTCTGCACAAGGTACGTTTTCTAACAAAACTTGTACATGGGTTACGTTTTTTAATCATCTATGAATTAGGGTGAAATAACCTCTATCGTTTACCAATTTATTGCCTTGCTCTAGTTTCTCAAACCATAGACATCACAACTCACAGAGACGTCCTTGCTTGTGTTTGTGATCGCCTAAATCATTCACAGAAAATGTCAAGGTTCTAGTCGGGATGTAATGATAGAGCTGTGCCTGAGTGAAGTGAATATTCAGTTGAAAATAAAACTTCCGACTTATCTGATTCCCAAATTCCCTGTAAGAAAAACATTAAGATTCAGACAATTGTGGACAAAAGGAAACTAGGTTAGGCGTTCCCCATAAATTTCTCTGGAGTTCTTGTGAACACAATTTTGGTTAGAGGAACGAACTCCGCCAGTTTGGCCCGCTTTCGCTGGCAACTGGTCCTTTCGCAGTCTTGTTGCATGTCGTTGCAGGACCAGTAGTCCGCGGAGGCGGTCCTGCAACGAGATGCAACAAGACTGCGAAAGGACCAGTTGCTAGCGGTCCTGGCGGAGTTCGTTCCCCTACCCCGCAATTTTTAAAGCCTATAATTACGGTTTGAGTTTTCAAGCCACTTTTTCTAACAATTTCGAGCTCTCACATGTAAATGAAGGCTAATCAAATGAAATAGCATAAAAGGAAATGCCTTTATGTACGATACCTTTTGGTTATGTACCATAGAAGGTGTCACACACTTTAGAATTAGTTCACGAAAATGATTCATGCGTAAAAACTACCTAGGAGAACATGCAATAGTAAATCAAACTAAAAAAACACCTCAAACGCTCTGTACTGTCGTAGATGAACAATATTCCAGCTTTGTTCTTTTTTCATGCAATTTGAACACTAGACTAGAACGAACAGCATTCAAAGATCTCAATCACTTCTATTAGTCAGTCAGTTCTTTTTTAACAGCGCATTGCCTCTTTTTGCAGGGGCTAAAACAGAGATTGGGTATAATTTGATAAATTCCATCAAATTCTTCCTGTTCAAGAAATTCATCTTTTTGCGTAAGATACAATGCTCTTGGTACCTACACTATCACTTAGCTTCAATGCTTTTAATGCTATTTTCAGAAGAATGCCGCGACTTGGATTTTAACTGTCGTGACTGGGTGGCAGCATCGCCACGAGCTTGTGAATCGACAGACTACATTTCGAAAAGCTGCAAGAAATCATGTGGTTTCTGCGGTCCTCCGGACAAAAGTAAGAGAGTTTTATCAACAGTTCTTACTGCAAAAAACCTATACAGCAGCAGTCTTTGCGTTATCGCCAAACTACCTCTACAGCTGGAATTCGCACGCTTTTCCTTTTCCGGCTTGCGGAAACTTGAAAGCGTATCGAAATTGATTGTCGCTAGCGAATCATATTAGACTATTTGAACTTTTTTAACATTCCTCTAGTCGAGAGTGAACTTAGTCATAAATTGAAATGAAGAGGTAGTCCATGATGCAATTCCATAAACGAGTGGAGTTCATTTTGGATTGGAGCTTGAGAATCCTGTTTGACCGCTGTTGGAAGCTTTTTTGACTTTACGCTGATGGTTTCACACAAACCATAACACCTACAAATCCAAGACCATTCAAAATAATTGTGCTCAAGCACAAGAGATCGGCGTTGTTGCGCGATAAAGTGGATAAGCAGTACCCTGGTTAAAAATTTTTGTAAATTAATCTGATCGTCCAATTAAAGACGAGTCAGTTGCATAACTGTAACCTATATACAGTCCGTAAAGTATGTAGTATACACTGTTTAATCGCTAATATCTTTCTTCCCAACAAGTCTTTTTCCTTGCTTCAGGTACCGTTTTGTAGAGCTGGCTTCAACTTAGATCTTCATTATAAGACGAATCACCCACCTCTCTTCATTATTGTAGGATTACGGTAGAAACTTCAAAGAGGGTTTTGAGCCATGAAAGGCCATATTTTGCCTCAGAAAGGAAACAAAACAGCCTGAAAACTTTTACACTAGGCTAATTAGAGTTGCTGATTCTAACTGTGAAGTTTCCAACTTATTATGATGCTTCATTGAAGAGTTATGCCAGGTGAGAGGTAGCGGCCATTTTTTCAATGTTCCTAAAAAGTGCGTTTACACCGTTTAGAAAGCTTCGCAATCTTGTTAATACTTAATAGTTGAGTATTGAACTCAGCGTCCATAAAAACCCTATTAACAAGGTTCCACATTTTTTTGAAAAATTTTGAGACGGCAGCTTTTTCGACATTGACACCATATGTTTCAAGTTTCTACCATATAAGTAATGAAGAGAGATGGGTGAGTCGTTCTATACTGCAAATCTAAGTTGAAGCTAGCCCTACAAAACGGTACCTGAAGCAAGGCAAAAGATTTGTTGGTAAGAAAGATATTAACGATCAAACAGTGTATACATACTTTACAGACACCCTGTATATCCTTTTGTAGATATTCCTGACCCATTCTTGGGGGGGGGGGGGGTGAGGAGAGCCCCTCCGTATTCAGGGTGTCCCAAAAGTAAGTACACACTTTTCAATCGTTAATATCTGTCTTTCCGTTGGGTCTTTTTCCGCCTCTCAAGTACCATTCTGTAAATGAGGCTTCAGCTTGGATTTACTTTATCGAGTGAATCACATATCACTCTCCATTACTATAGGATTACTGCGGGAACATCGACAAGAATGTTGGGCCATTGCAGGTCATAATTTGCCTCAGAACGAAAGCGAACAAGCCAAAAGCACTTATACTATGGTAATGAAAGCCGCTGATTTCAAGTTTGAAATTTCCAGTTTATGTGATGCTTCTTTTCAAAGTTGTCCCAGGTAAATCGTAGTAACCAAATTTCCAGCATTTATCAGAAATGTGGTTATACCGTCAAAAAAGCTGAAAACACTCATAAATAGTTGTGTAGTGGAATGAGCGTGCGCGAAATCCTAGCACACGACTTTTCAGATTTCTTGAAAAAAATTTTTGTCAGATGGCATATTTCACAATGGTTCATACTAGAAGTTCTTACCGTAATCCTACAGTAACGAAGAGCGATCGATGAATCGCTCGTTACCGCTAATCCAGTTTGAAGCCTCCTCTAATAGTACCTTGAATGGCGGAAAAAGACCCCATGCAAAGAGAGATATTAACGATTGAAAAGTGTGTACTTACTTTTGGGACACCCTGTATATATGTAAGTTTCATAGATGGTTATAGTCGTCCTCACCCTAGTCGGTCGGTGGTCGAATTTGAATTTGAACTGGAGCAGGCCCGGCCGCGGCAGAGCGCGGCAGACGTCGCCCCTTAGCCAACCGCTTGCACTAGGCGCGGCGTTTCCCGCGCTCTGCCGCGGCCGGTCTGCTCCAATTCAAATTCAAGTTCGACCACCGACCGACTAATGGGGTGAGGACGACTATACATGCTGGCGCTAACCGCTATCGTCTGGATGCGGTTCGCTTTGTAGACAAGGTATAGGCTGTACCAACCCACATCGGTCATGCGACGTCGCGCTTGCGGCGACTTGTGATGGTGCGGTTTGGCGTGCGAACACTGCTACGCGTTAAGGCACGTCGCATGCGACCGTGCGTCCTCGCAAGGTATGCCAACGCGGGACCGATGCTGGTTACAGCCTATGAATGTGCGGTTTTTCGAAGAAATATTAAGTTTACCTTTGTACAGGTTTGCTGAAAGGTGTAGACTATCACTACCTGACCGGCAGAGCCATGACTTGAAATCGGCCATTGTTAACATTTCTGTTAGATCGCAGAGTAACCGAGGGGCCCCTCTCGAAATTTGATGATGACCACCAGTAATTTCGGCTAGCAAAAAATGTTACAATAAACATAATTTTCTAGGTAAAATTATATAGACTACGAAATAAATAGAACTCGCAGAAAACTGAGGCAGCCTCTGCAAAAATTTGTTTCCCATTTTCCTAGCTTCAACCAGCAGTTCATTAATCTTTTTATCCGCAAGCCCTAAAATTGTGCAGTTTTGCGATTTGCAATTTGGAGCGAATCACTCCTCATTATTGTAGGGTTACGGTGGAAACTTCAGGAAGGGTTATGAGCCATTGGGGCCCTATTCGGCCTCAAAAAGCAAACCGAATTACCAGAAGACTTTCATATTCGGTTTGCTCGATCCGTTAAAACCAAATATGATGTTTGCACTTTACCGCAATGCTTCCTTCATAAATTATGCTAGATAAACCGCATGGCTGTTTTTATAATACTCCATGGAACCATGATCACATCATTTCAAAAGCTACGCAAACTCGTAAAAACTTGATTAATACAAACAGCGAGTGTGAAATCCCTAGTATACTACTCATCAGATTCTTTAGGCCCCGTGCAGACTTCACGCGATTTGATCGTCGCGACTGAATCGCGACGAGACAACTGTTACAACCAGGGTCAAGCAAGGGGTGTGGCACACGATCGCTGGTTACGACCCCCCCCCCCCCCTGATTGCTGTCTTAATAAGACCCCCCCCCCCCTGAACTATATACCTAAGATAGCATTACCAGTGTTGAGAAAGAGGTCAGGCACAAGTCTTTCGAAAACGCCCCCCTTCCTCCCATGAAAGCCCTCAAACAACCCCTTCTTTCTCCTCTTAACCTCTGGACCTCGAAGTGTGACATTCTGGAGGACACCATCTTTTTCTAGAGAGTTTTCAGATTTCTGAGAGCTGTACGCCCAATTTTCTGTGACTGCACTCTACAATCACACGTAATTTGACGGCTGATTTTGATCTGAATGGGCATATTGAAAGGGCTATAATTTTCTTATGAGTGGGGCGTTCGGCTCCAAATTTCCAAAGTTGCAAGAAGAAGCCATGTGCTCAATACTCATAGCAGCAATGGAACGCTTTCTGAATTTTGAAGAAGGGGTGTGCCGCACCCCATTAACTATATCAAAAAAACATTTTTAGCGGACAATATTTGCATGGATCGATGGCCTAAACCTTGTAGATTCCACAGGACTGTTTGGAGCCTGATTTGTCTTCTTAGCTCTAAGTAATATTTGGTGAAAGCACACCGATCAAAAGCGAAAAATGGGAAAAACGAGATTTTGGTTGGCTTCTATCAGATTACCCAACTACGACCCCCTCGCCTTTTGACTCCTCAATACGACCCACCAGGTGTAGCGTGCCGCACCCCACGCTTGACCCTGGTTACAACATCATTCCATGCCGATCAACTTGCATTTCGGTTGTGATACTTTTCCAGCCCGAAATTTTTAAATGTGAAATGAAAATGAATGGAAATGTTGGCGATTGAGTCGCGACGATCAAATCGCGTGAAGTCTGCCCGGGGCCTTAGGGAACTTTTTTTTGAAACATAGCTAATCCGAAATGACGCTGTAAACTAGAATCTCCTATCGTGATCTTACAGTGTGAAGAGCGATCGGTAATTCGTTCCATACTGTAAATCTAAGTTGACGCCAGCTCTAAAAAAGGTACCTGTGAATTCGGGCAAAACGCTTCTTGAGAAAAGAGATATTAACATCAAACAGTGTATACATAGCTTTGGGACAACCCTATATACATTCTTGCCGCCTTCCCTCGCGTTTCACCTAGTAGCGCAGATTGAGCACGCTACCGTAAGCCAGTGTTTCCGCGGTATTTTTTATTTGCCTAGGTAAGGAAAAACGAGTATATTTTCTCTTTAAAAGAAACGATTTCAAATGAAATTGCTTCTTTGTAGAGAAAAAAGTTCAGCAGTAGCAACGATATGAAAAATACAAAGATTTGAATGCTTTGAAGGTAAGTTCTGTGGTGCGGCGTAACCCCTAAAAAGTGTGGCAACCATAGCTTTTCTGGGGTTGTGTGCCACACCTCATTGACTTACCTTCCAAGAAAATTTTAGCGAAGAAAGTATGCATTTTTAAAGTATTCTAGTTTTTATGGGGATGAGAGCGTAATTTGTCTTTTTTCGATTGAGTTGTAGTTGCTGAAAGCACAACCGCTGTAATCAAAGGGGCAAATGAAATATTGGCTAGCTCCTTATTCCATAGTTTGATGGTTATTTGAAGCAGAATTTATGGTATGGGCAAGGGCAGAGTAGTGTTCTGTAATAAGTTTATAAGGTATTTCACTTTTGAAATATACATGAAACAGTTAAGCATGTTGGAATTGACCACTTCACTTGGATAGCCCAATTCTCGTCAGAACTCGCTAAATCTTGGCCCACAGGGGTGACTCGACGTAATAGTTACGAATATGTCAATAATATTAGGTCATTCCGAAAGTAATTTCGCTTTCTTTAAACGGACGCCACATGTGGTGGAACAAAGATTTCTATGAGATCTTAGTAGCATTCGATACAGAATTTCATCCTCTTTCCAATTGTTATAAGATTATTGCAGCACAATCAATGAGCTTTTAAAAAATTACGAAAGTCTCCGATCTATGTTATTAGAGAGGCTCAAGTTTCACATTTTTTTAAATTTGTACATCAATCCTCCAAAAGAGTCCAACAATCGATTCGATAGAGCATACCTTACAGGATACAAAACCATTTTTTTCTCCTCCACATATCTACTCAAAAATTTTTAATAGAATCTTGATTGATGCTACCGATTTCCATTCTTGGTTAACTCAAACGTCGTAGAACATCAAACGGTAAGCAGCTCGGGTGTCATTCGATGCAGCTTGTTCCCTCTTTCTAATGGATGTTTTTTGTTTTTGTTCGTAATTCTTCAAAAGCTCATTGATTGTGCTGCAACAATCTTACAAACTTTGAAAGAGGATGAAATTCTGCATCGAATGCTACCAAGGTCTCTTATTGTTAGATATCTTTGTTCCAGCACATGTGGAGTCCGTTTGAAAAAAGCGAAATTAATTTCGGAATGACTTAATATTTCTTGTTAGAGTCTTTATGCCATGCTTACGGTAGGCAAACGATAATGCTGGGGAAGGGGGGGGGGGGGTATTGAGAAAGAAATTGGAGGGGAAGAGTCGTATCTTGCATTTGCGTGCCATATCTCTTGCTCAACCCTGGTTTAAACCAAACGCGTACTTGCAACAAACAAGTGCTTTGGTCTTTTAAACTTATTTTGGAGATTTGCATCCATTATGGCCTCCCCGCCAAGCTTTTCCTTGCCGAATCGTCTACACACGTTTGCGCTCTCAATTAGTTCCTGCGCGTATGAACGCAAGGCTTTTGCTCTTCCCCATTGCACCTCTCGCCTATGCCAAATTTACGCAAACTTCGAATTCTCATCATATACCGTACATATTATATCCTCAAAAAGGCGAAAGAATAAACTTTTTGCATCAATTTTAAGCTAAATTGTGATTTTGCATGCTGTGTTCGGAGCGAAACAGCGTTAGTGCTTTTGATAGAACATCACTTTCTTATCATACGAGTATTTCAAAAACTCAAAGAAGTCCTCTTTCATTTGGAGCATTCTGAAACCGCTGGATTATAGCAGAAATACAAAGCGAAGGAAAAGAATTCAACTGTTTACAAAAGTATGGTCTCTGATTTGCTTTATCATTGAAATCGCCATGCCAAGATGATCCCGCTGTTTGCTGAAGAATTCGTGTCAGAGCTGGGCACGAGGTGGCTTCCCGAAATTGCAAAAAACGAGTACCCTTAACTTCACTATGAGAGTACGACATCCGCCATGAGATATTAAAAGAGAAAACACATGGAAAAGGAACGAAGCTTCAAACAAGTGCGATGATATTCGTATCCTCCAGGTTGGCGGCATAATGTATCCATCGCGCAGCGGTAGGTCCCCAGAACAGCGTTGCCGTCGCCATTCAAAATTTTCAGGGGGCTGTAACTAAGCGGGAGAAGGGGTTTGAGGCGGTTTAGGAACCGATTTGTAGGGTTTGGGATGTAGGTGAAATTTATGCAAAGAAGGCTAAAAAAATTGATATGCACGGTATACGATGTGAGGCAGGGAAGTTTTATGATTTTTCTTTCCCAAATTTGAAAGCCAACAAACTTCGAAAAAAGTTAAGCACGCTTTCAGTTCACATAATTTTCTCATAATTTTTAATACAAAGCTTTGACTCCTCACTGCCCATCTACACACCAATTTTGGTGCCATTTCATATTCCATCCGCTGTAAATAGCTGTTGGTTTGTTCGGGAGAGCATGCCGCCGGAATGCCGACAGCGTGCCGGTAGTATGCGGACCTCAAAACAATATTTTTGCTTTTTCTTCCGAAAACGATATCCAGCTTGCTTGGTAAGCCACCTGTGCCGTGCCCCTGATTTGTGGGAGGAGTTGCGAACGTTTGGAAGTGTGAAGTTATTGGGGTTTCATTAGATGCTTGAGTGCACTTCAAAAGGCGTAATAAGAATGGTTTTGAGTATACTGACTACAAAGCCTAAGGCATATGTACCTGCCGCGATTTCGTCAAATCGCTACATCCACGCGACTTGGCAGTTTGCCAGATATTTACAGAGCAATCGTGTGCGGGTCCTAAGTGCATAGGCGCGTAGCCGTAAGTTATAGCAGAAGCTTCAAGTCTGGCCGCAAAGCGCGCTAACGACTGTTACGAAGAGTCGCTGCAGTGCCAGATCGCACAGCGACTGGAATCGCGTGAAGTATGCCTTAGGCTTAAGGGAGAAACATAAATAAAAGTACTTAACTGCTGTTTCTCAATTGTATGGCATCGAATGCTCGCCAAATTTAGACTTTCAAAAGCTCATAACTTCTAGACAATTGTTTAGCAGTGGTGGAATGTAGATTTAAAATTAGCTTATCGAGACGCATCACCGATATGCATTTCATTCCGATTTTATTCCGGATCACACTGCTATCTGGAATTTTTTTCCCTGATTAGAGTGTGCACGGAATTCTATGTATGAATGTTTCAGAGTATGATTTACGTCGTCTGTCACCGCAGCTCCAACCATTGGCCTTCCTCGTGGGTAAGTGGCGCTCTGAGCACGGTGGCAAAGCGATTTTCCCTACCATCCCAAAGTTCACATACGGTGAAGAAGTTGACATCAGCATACCGGACGAGGCTCTCCAAGCACATCAGGCCTTGAATTATACGTAAGTATTTTGTTAATTGTAATGTTTTTTTTTTGAAAATATAAGATAGATCGGATTTCGATGATACTGTGGAGGACGGCCGAACTCTAAATATTAAAGTCTGTTTCAATAGCTTCACTCTCACACTGATTGAGTGCTCTAGAGTCGAATCGCCGGTCTGCTAATCACTATTTTTATTTCTGGAATCATGACCGGACTAGTAGGCACACAAAATCTCAGTGTCATGTATCACGATATCTCAATATCAAAAGACAGATGGTTTCGCAACGAAACGAAGATGTGGTTCAATCTTTCTAAAAATGGGGGATTTGCTCAAAACCACACGTAAGCTGTTTGTAGTGAAAGCGATTACTACCTAAATCGAAATCAGGGTATCAAATTTGAATTAGATCAATAAAAAATAGGTTATTCTTCAAGAGAGTAAGAGAAAAAGTATGTATTATAGATCTTTAGGTGTTACTTCAGTTCACTCCAAGTAATCCCTTGTTCCTGATTACCTTCTACCGTCCCTCTTGCATAATATTATCCTTGAAAAAATCCACCGATTTCGAAAAATTTTTATGCACCAGGGACCCGTCGGACAGTTGAAGTTGGGAACAGCTTCTCCGAAACAATTTATATTTAGCGCTCACGCATGGTCTGTAGATAAGGTTGCCATATGGAACGACACAGCGAGGTTTACTTTCTCCTCATCGCGGAGTCTGTTTTCCACATATTTTAAACCTTCAATAATAAATAAAATGCTATAAAAACAGACTCCTGTGATCAATAAGTTTCAGGGAAGGCAATGGATTATTTTTTTTAACAACAACATTATTTTGGTTTCTAACCCTTTATCTTAATCACTGGAAGGGTACGGATGAGGTTATTATTGAGTTTGTATTTCGATATTATTTTCAGTTTTCAGTACGGATGCGAGGTGATGGATTCTCAGTTTTCATACCATTCTTGATTTTATTTTCAGTGTCTTTACTTTCGATTACAACATATAAAGAAAAGATTATTTAGAGCCTTTGCATGGTCAATCAATGAAAAGGACGAACTTCACAGCGAATCTGGCTACATCTCAGTAAAACCAAATACACAAGAAGTGGCGCTAACAACTGTAATGAACAATGGTACGGAACAGGTATTTGTCGACTGAAGTCAAAAAAATGAATGAGCCGAAGATTTTGAAAAAAAAGGAAGCTAAACAGGTTCTATCACACGTCTGGCCATGGTCTGACTGCTGAATTCTTTTCAAAACTTCAATTCATTTATCATAGCATAGTATGACCCTCTCATGCAATTTATACTCGCGCACGTAGTTTATTTCTCTGGAGCATGAGCTATCAGTTATGTAGAAGTCGCTTCATATTACTATAACATGTGCAAAAGCACTGTGCATCGTCAACACTTTATGGATGAGTCTAACAAGGGAAGGATACTTAGTCAAAGTGGCGTTTCCATATGAAATGTATACTATCTTACAGAGCATAAAACGCTGATTCTGAATCTGCTTTCCTTATCTGCAAAGCGCTTTTGGGTGGGGAGTTATGAAACTTTTTTGAGGTAAAAATTCGATGATTTGGCTAAGGTAAAAACAGCCGTTGAGATCTTTTCGGCGCTTGAAGGGAGTAATGACTGACATGAGTTTGTTAGATTGAAGGTATATTGCATAAAAGACCCTGGTAGTAATCATGGCCCCATCTGAACTCACGAATCAAAGTTCTGAATGCTTTTATTGTAGCTGCGCTTTCGGGATTTTGTATCGAAAAATTGTCATAACTCTCCTCCCAGAAGGGCTTTGCAGATAAGGAAAGCAGATTTGGAATCAGCATTGCATGCTCTATAAGACTGTATACATTTCGTATGAAAAGCACACTTCAACCAAATATCCTTCCCTTTAAGACAATCAAGGAAAGTTTTTTTTTAAAGAAGTACAAAATTTATTGTTAACTGTTCTCAGAGTTTTTTATAACAACACAATTAAGATTTCGAAAAAATTCACCAAGTTATTTGTTTGCTAATAGAATTTTTGAGTAGACAAACCGATTCATAACTTCATTTTTTTCACTCGTTGAGTGCGAGCTATGTCCTGCTGATTTCTACATTAGCTGACACTGGGTAACACACTATGCTGATGTTTGTGCTTTTGTTAAAAGGTTTCACGGTTTCGTACCTAGCGTCTTGCAACCAGATTATCTGGATTATCAAGTTTTAGTTGCTGTGTGCTATAGTCACGCTATTCGGTTGAATTAATCACTTCAAAAATTTGAGTGTGAAGCGATGTCTGTGGTCACGCGCTACCTTTTTTCACACGCACATGGGAGCAAAAAATGTTGATAATGGAATGTATGTTGCTCTTATTGCTAAACCCCACTCTTAATTTTCCATAGGAAGTCAGTCATACTGCTAATTACTGCATGTTGTAATAGTTAGGCTCTCGGCTGACGAGTAAGGTCAACGACCGACTTATCGCAGCATCGTTAAATGACCGACAAGCAGGACCCGGCACGAGGGTGGCAAATGTCATGCTGAAATTTGTTTTTAAAAAGGAAGCGAAAGAGACACCGGTGATTACGCTCCATAAGCACAAGGTACCCACTTAACAAGTTGCTACACGGACGTGCAAAAACATGATTTTGCTCGCGCGTACTCTTCAAAATCAAAATTTTATTTCAATAAGTAATAATTGATTGCATTGTTTGCACCGATCGTAACGATATGACTCAAATTTTGATGTATAAACGGACAAATGCTAGGAGGAGCGTAGTGCAGAGTAATGCGGAAAAACTATGTGAATGAAGATTGTGGCAAGATTATTTCTAGAAATTTTGCATTAGTGAACAGTGGAAAATTAACTCGTTTGCGAGCAGGTAGCGAATAGGCTTCGACTTTATGTGAATACAGAGAGTTGAATCACAATGGGAAAATTTTATATGAAATTTATGTGGATGAAGAGCACGCCAACTTTCTTCCAACATAAACCTGTTCTACATAAATCTAAAGTCTCCTATATAGTAACAATTTGGTTTCAAAACTCTTCCAGCTGATGCAGAAGTAGCAAAGAGGCCGGTGTCCTTAAAAGTAAGCGCTTTGACTGAACGACTGCGGCTGTCGCGATCAAGTGGGAAATTTTGTTATTCGATAGCGACAAGAATAAAGTTTCTCTTATTGTTAGTTGTGCGTTTCAAATCCCGTGCCGAGCCCTGCGGACAAATCAAAAGTAGAAAATATCACAACTGCAATATCACACTAAAAAATATCACAACCAAAAATATCACAATATCACAAGCATATCCGAACTTTTCTTGAAAATAAGAAAATAAAACGTTCAAACTGACTAGGAAAGCGTGTTTAGTCGAAGTGGCCTTTCCACATGTTACCTATATCATTTTGTAAAACATTAGGCCACGGAGACAGACTTCACGCGATTTGATCGTCGCGACTCAATCGCCGACATTTCCATTCATTTTCATTTCACATTCAAAAATTCCGGGCTGGAAAATCATCACAACCGAAATGCAAGTTGATCGGCATGGAATGATGTTGTAACAGTTGTCTCGTCGCGATTCAGTCGCGACGATCAAATCGCGTGAAGTCTGTCCGGGGCCTTAAACGTTTACTCTAAATCCGTCTTTCTTATCTACCAAGCGCCTCTAGAAGCAGAGTTATGAGCGTCTTTTTGTTTCAAGCATAAAAAGTGCTCTGAGTGCTTACAGGTCTCGCTATTCGTTTAAATTTTTTCTACACTTTGCCGAAAAGTTATCTCAAATAAAGTCGGCTTCATTTGTAGGCCATAGTCATCTAGCAGGATTCGGGTATATACTCAACAACTTCACATGTTTTGCATTTCAGTGCCGAGCACATAAAAAACGCTTTTAATCTAAACACAGCATATTCAGGATTCGTAACAGTGGAAGAAGGCCCAATCAAAAACAACGTTATCAAATTCCGATTGAAGGATGTTGGACGAATCAGCTTCAGTCGTGATCTGCCTGTCCACGATGTAAGTTCAGGCCGACAATTTTTAGTCATTGGGTCTTGAAACAATAGATCGCCTATACAATAACAGATTTATCTAAAAGTATCTATATAAACGTACTAATATGTATAATATTAACAACTTGTTCCAGATGGTACGCGAATGGACATTGTTAGATAAAAACACGCTACAAGCCAGACTCAATATGGAAACATTGACACATGGAATGCAAGAGCATACTTTCATTCGATATCACAAGATTGCGCCATAGATATTCGTTGTTGTTTTCTGCATTTCTATCAGATTTTGTTACTTCCAAAGGTAATAACGCACGTTGAAAACATCTCAAATGTAACGGCTATGCCTCTAAAAATGATCACCCTGTACAGAATTTCAATAAAATATCTTCAAGTATATTTGTTTATCAACATTTTGCAAAAAAAAATGAAACATAGTGTCAACCATCATTCTTACAAAATCGCCTCATTTTCAGAAGACAACTACATCTCTCTTTCCTCTGCTCAACAATAACTCTTGCTGTAGAGATTATGAAAGTAGGGAGCAGATTTCCGCTTTTACAAGCTTGTAGTGAAAGACATTCCTATGCAGCAAAAAAGCAAATCAAGACCTACTTTTGTGTATTGTATGAATGCTGCCTTACTGTCAGAATTAGGTACCAGTTTGTCCTCAAGTTTTTAGATCCACGGTATTGTCATCCGCGCTCAGTTGTCACATGTTCTGTTAAAGTTCGTGATACTTTATTGTAACCCTTTCCTTCTTACCAAGTTTGTTTTCAAAAACATGCTTGTCTGTAATCACTACTGCTGACGTCGTGACCTCTGAGAATTCTATTCCAATGACTCCATAATGAGTTTGCATGGAAGTAGACGTGTAACGAAGATGATGCTAGGATTGAATTTGCATGGAAGTAGACGTGTAACGAAGATGATGCTAAGATTGAAATGTGCACGACGCTGTAAACAGCGAAAACTTGCGGATGCTATTGAAAGTTATTGTATTAGGTTGTGTAGTAAGTTCTGCCCCATTTTTCGATTTTTTTATAGATAATATACTGTTTCAAAATAGAGTTTATATGCTTTTGTAGGCTCTATGTCTGCTCTGCAAATTCGTATGCTTTATTGCCCAACATAGCACGATATTTATTAGGTTGTCTGGAAATTAATGTCCGTTTTGAATTCCAACTGCAATAAGTCATACATTTCTCATTTCTAGATAGTATTAAAAGAACCATTCGATAAAGCAATGCATGCTCTGCAAGATGGTATTCTTGCTTTAGGCTCCCGCCAGAGTGCCGAAGCCATGCCATCGCTACGCCAGCGCCGAGCTAGCGTTTCGATCGATACACGTGTATTTCGTTGGGGCGGGGTCCTGGCTGAGATAGCCCCGCCCCAACGAAATACATGTGTATCGATCGAAACGCTAGCTCGGCGCTGGCGTAGCGATGGCATGGCTTCGGCACTCTGGCGGGAGCCTTAACGACAGCTCTGATCCATCTCGAGTTTCGCAAAAACTAAAAAGATTCAACTGCCCGAAAAACCGAGAAAAACCGTAACTCTGTCCATAAAAATCCTACAAAAATTCCAACTTGCCCACGTAAATACGCCGTTGCCGTATTTTTCCCTCTGTTAGAAATCAAGAAAACGGAAATCGTGCATTTGCCAAAGTGATGCTGTGCTGTCCCCACATAGGTAGTTGTATACTACAAACCTGTAGGAGTAAAAATGTAAATTTTCAGCTCTCTATAAGCTATAGTCCTCGAGAAATCTGTATTTCAGTTTGGACTCCTGACTTGGGAAAGCTATATACGATATTTCTCGAGAACTAAAGCTTGCATAGAGCTGAAAATTTACGATTGTACTTCTACAGGTTTGTAGAATACGGGAATGTGGGAACAGCACAGCATCACTTTGGCAAATGCACAAAAATTTCCATTTTCTTAATTTCTAATGGAGGAAAAAATACGGCAACGGCGTACATAGATGTCTTGTGTAGACAGTGTTTACGTGGGCAAGTTAGAATTTTTGTAGGATTTTTATGAACAGAGTTACGTTTTTTCTCGATTTTTCGAGCAGTTGAATCTTTTTAGTTTTTGGCTCAAAACTCGAGATGAATCAGAGCTGTCGCTAAAGCAAGATTGCCATCTTGTAGAGCATGTTTTGCTCTATCGAATGGTACTTTGAATACTATCTAAAAATGAGAAGTGTATGACTTATTGCAGTTGAAATTCAAAACGAACATTATTTAATTTCCGGACTAATACAACGATTATTGCTATCAGAAGAAAAATTCGAAGGGGCAAAAAATCCATTTTTACATCTTTCTCTCCAAATTTCCCGTTTTCTATTGGTAATTTGATTCAACAAGCTTGACAAAAACAAAATAGCCTGTTAGACTCTTATGGTTGTAATGTCACTGTTTGCGCTTGTTCGCTTCCTTCTGCCGACATTTTAATACCGTTTTCTCAGAAGTCGGCAGAGCAAAAATTTGCTGCGGCGATGTCGTAGTCTCGCTTACCTAAGCTGTGTGGCCCCCAAACATTAAATTTTTGAAAAACTAACTTACGAATTCGATGATTTTATAGCCAAAGACCATCCCTACTGCTTTTTCTGAACTAGTCGTCCACCGTCCTTTCTCAGGACTGCCTTCAGATGCCCAAAGTCAACGTTGAAAAGGCGTTAGAAGATAGATTTTTTCCGAGTTTAAAAAAAGTTTACGCACTTTGAATCTCTGCAGAAGCTATAGCACTCTTTCCTCAGGCTCAGCAAATTTTTCGAGCTCTCTAAACATTCTGACCTAAACAGAGGCCACTCAGATTATTTGTCGATATGGATTTTTTTCTCTTTGGTTTTCCAAACTTGATGCTGGAAAACTTTTTGACATTGTTGCAGGAAACTAAAGTGAAGATTTCGGTAGAGCAGACTTGGAGCTTTAAAATACAGGGTGTCCCAAAAGTATGTATACACTTTTGATCGTTAGTATTAAGCTGTCCGGAAATTAATGCAGGTTTTGAATTTCAACCTCAAGCCGTACACTTTTCATTTTTAACTAGTTTGCAAAACAATATTCCATAGAACAAAGCAAGCTCTACAAGATGGCTATCTTGCTTTGGCAACAGCTCTGATCCACCACGAGTTTTGAGTCAAAAACTAAAAAGATTCAACTGCCCGAAAAATTGAGAAAAATCGTAACTCAGTTCATAAAAATCCTACAAAAAATCTGACTTGCTCACGTAAACACTATCCACATAATACGTCTATATGCGCCGTTATTGTATTTTTTCTCTGTTAGAAATCAAGAAAACGGAATTTTCGTGCATTTGCCATAGTGGTGCTGTGCGATTCCTACATAAGTAGTTGTGTACTACAAACCCGTAGAAGTACAAACATAAATTTCCAGCTCTCTGCAAGCTTTGGTTCTCGAGAATCGAATACAGTTCTCCCTAGTCATGTGGTCCTAGCTAAAATTCAAATTTCTCGAGAACCAAAGTTTGCAGAAAGCTGGAAATTTATGTTTATACTTCTAGAGTTTTGTAGTATACAACTACTTATGTAGGAACAGCACAGCACCACTTTGGCAAATGCACGAAAATTTCCGTTTTCTTGATTTCTAACAGAGAAAAAATATGGCAACGGTGTATATAGATGCCCTATGTGGATTGTGTTTACGTGAGCAAGTTAGAATTTTTGTAGGATTTTTATGAATTGAGTTACGATTTTTCTCAATTTTTCGGGCAGTTGAATCTTTTTAGTTTTTGGCTCGAAACTCGTTGGGATCAGAGCTGTTGCTAAAGCAAGATAGCCATCTTGTAGAGCTTGCTTTGTTCTATGGAATATTGTTTTGCAATCTATTATACTTAGAAATGAAAAGTGTACGTCTTATCGCTGTTGGAATTTAAAGCCTGCATTAATTTGCGGACAACCTAATATCTCTCTTACCTTGGAGTCTTCTGCTTACCTTTAGATACCATATTGTAGAGCTGGCTTCAACTTAGATTAACGGTATGGAGCAAATCACCAATCTTTCTTCATTGTTGTAGAATTACGGTAGGAACTTCAAAAAGCCTTTTAAGCCATTGCGGTCCTGTTTCGCCTCAGAAAGCAAAACAAACAACCTGGAAACTCCTACACTAGGCTAATCAAAGTTGCTAAAACCAAATACGAACTTTTTACCGCGTGCTTCCTTCATAAATTGTGGCAGGTAAACCGCAAAAGCTGTTTTACAACACTCCCTAAAATTGTGGTTGCACCCATTAAGAGGCTTTACAAACTCTTGAAAAGTTGAATAATGAAATTAGGGCGCGTAGTATCCGTGGTACACCACTTTTCGGAATTTCTGAAACTTCTCTTTGAAACACGATTGGTCCACAAGGACGCTGCAAGCCAGAAGTTCATACCGTAATCGTACAGTAATGATGAACGATAGATGGTTCGCTTTATATGTAAATCTAAGTTGAAGCCAGCTCTACAAAATGGTACCTGAAAGCAGCCAAAACACCTTTTGGGAGAAGAGATATCAATGATCAAACAGTGTATACATACTTTTGGGACACCCTGTACATAACACAATTTGCAAAACACCGTGCAAATTATTGTAAAAAGGAAAAATGGGACAGGACTTGTTAATCGACCTAATAAATGAGCTACGGGCAATTTAATTCTTTGAGAGCCATGCACATATCGTGAATGGCCAAAATTCGTCTTTCGCTTACCGTTATTTGCATGCATCGCTCTCAACAATCCAAATTACTTTTGGTGATAATACAATATTGAGCCTGTACAATCATAATGTTACTATATAAATGATTTCTTGGGTGAAATTCAACCATTCAATCAACGAATTCATTCAATTTTATTCCATTCTGCAATGTTACTGTAACCGATGTTGTGTTTAGCACTATCGCTTTTGAGCAGGTAGTCATCTGCAATTGTGATTGGTAAACTGTAGTCTTTGTCTCGACTCTGAGTTCGTCTCTTTACAAAATTCGCGTGTTATTGATTGCATTATCATCAGCAAATAATGATAATAATCATAATAATATAATAATAATTACTACGAAAACTTAAAATGTTCATATTACAATGGCGTAAAAGAAAAAATTTTAATGAATCAAAATTTGATATCTCTTGTGGCACTATACTATTCATAAATCCATGGCTATGTAGTATAAGCGTGATATGCAGCTTCGATAATAATCTGCTAACCAAATGTCATAGATCACAGCAAACCCATAATCTACTATTCTCACAGATATTCAATATTCAAATATTAATCCAAATATTCTTGGATTTGTTCCCACTTACAAGATTACGAAACGATTTTTCGCGTTTGGTTGCCATAGCATTTTTTTATGACGGCATCTGCGTCGTGAGATTATTATCAAGAAGTCTTCGT